ATATGCTTAAAGTACATGTTTCACAAGCAAAATTCTGCTTCTTGGAACAGACCTCTTATGTCTATGAAATCCATAAATCAGCTCGAATTGCATTTTATCAAGGTTGCCCACATAGGTATTTCTAATGCCACAGGAAGGCATAGTTAACTGTCTCATGCAGACAGCTGTTGAATAGTGGAAACAGTAAAATGTAAGTGCTTTCAAAACTGTGTTTGCACTCCCCTCTGTCCATGTATCATCATCACAGAGATGAGTCTATTAGTGAGTAGCACTCTCAGTGCTATTCAGTTGTCAGTGCTCTTTTAACAATCACCTGCTTAAAGAAATTCCATCACAGAAATAAATACTCATTACAGAATGCTTCTCCAGTGCTCAGAGGTGAGAGACTATGAACTACTAAACGCAAGCAGTAAATGCTGACTGTAAATAGTTTGTTTATATTACATGTAATTCATTCTGCTGTTAGAGTGGCTTTCTTTTTGAAAGCCAAATAATTCTCTTCCTAAATTGAACCTTTGTTGTTCTTTCTCCAAATAAAAAAGTCTTTTCTAAGAAAGAATGATCTCCACACATAGCTGTACTCACAGTAGCTGGAACTTTTTAAGCTACAACTCTGTATAACATCAGCAGAACTCTTCTCAAAAGGCCTTTTCCTGCATACTGTAAGAGATTCTTCTCTTTATTTTACATGTTATTTGTTGTATCTAATGGAGGAAAGAAAACATTGCCCTCAGCTACTTGCCTGGAAGATTACATAAGTAACTTCTCTTAAAAAAACAAAACAAAAAACTAACTGTACAAAACAAAGTACAGAAGTACAGTGATTTCTGCAGGAGGATTACAGTAAAACTAAATTTGCATCCAGGAAATCCATGCCAGTTGCCTATAGAAAACATGAATCATTGGATTCTATTCCTAGAGCAGGTATTCTGTATTTAAGCTACAAAACTTTACTCCTTAGTTAACATTGGATTTTTATAGTAAGCCCCCTTCCATCTACTAAAATGCCCCTCTTGTAAAGCACAGATATGCTTTGCATTTAGAATCACATATAGAATTTGCATCTAAAATCTGGAAGTAAAGCCTCATCTTTCATACAGAACTTTAACAGATAAATCAACTTCTATCAGAGCATTTTTTCAATTAAAAAAAAAATATTTAAAAATGCATTTGCCACAAGAAATGTGTATATAGCAAAATACCTTTTATTAAAGCCTGCTGTGAAATGTGATGTTTTGGCATTTCAAAAATGGATTGCAGGGCATATTAGGAAAACTCCACTGAAAGGAATGTATCTAATTTAGATCAGAATCTCCTCTGAGCAATTCCTCTCTTAGGCTGAATAGATCATTCAGCTGAGCATCACTTGGCAGCAGGGAATGAAGGGAAACTGTAACCAGCTCATCTCCCAGAGTACTTAGGTGTCTAGAAATGCTTTTATTAGCTTACGTGCTCACCCGAAACTCCTTTTTAAAATTAAAACATGCTGATAGTAACATAAAAAACATTATCACTTTAAAAGAATCCTATAACTACACTAAAAAATAAATAAAAAGAGTCAGAGGGAGAAAAAGGAATTCAGATATTTTTTTTTTTTACTGATGACCACAATATTTAAAAATATACATACATATATAAATATATATTTGTCTACTACAGACCAGCCAAGTGTTTAGATGCGTTCTGAGCATCTTCTCTTGGTGGTGGCATTTAAGGGTGTTCTTTTGTGTGTTCATTTAGGGCACAAATGCCCAGTGAAATTGCTAGCATAATTCCTACATCTGTTAAAAATGCTGGGCTAGATATCTGAAAAAATTATACCTGTATGGGCTGAACTACTTAATCAGTGGCCTGCCATTCCCATTGACTCTGAGACATTCTGATCTGCATTAATTTACTTTCACCACCTCTTTGTGAGGCAGAGAGATGTTTCCTCTGGCCGTTCTGATACTCTGAGGACTGCCCCAAAAGCATTGTCTCCTATTTTATTATGTTTTCCATGACATCAGAGGCAGATGTTGGTGATATGGCAGTAGAAATTGAACCTTCCCACCAATACTCCCTTACATGTTGTTGCTATGTGACAGATGGCAGCAGTTGGGCAGTCTGACAGAATGGTGTCTGACATGGGAGTGTGGATGAAGCAAAGGTGTGCCATTAAATTTTTCCATGTGGAAAAAAAATGGGACCACTGACATTCATCAATGCTGAACATTTGTGGAGACCAAATGGTAGATGTGAGGTGGTGGTGTGTTTCAGCAGTGGCAACAGTGAGAGTAGATCAACACCTTCACTGGTGCAGATAGTTATGAGTGCAGGCTCCTGTTCATCACTAGCAAAAAATGCACAACTAATGCTGGTAACTATGTTGAAAAACAGCATTTTGTATCTGAGACTTTGCTGTATCAAATAGTGTGATTGTGCTCTTTGTAACTGCTGTAGTTTCCATGGAAATAAACAGGCATCACTTTCAGGGCTATCTGCATAAATACATGGACTGTTTGGCTCATGGTCACAGTGGAAATTCATTGCAGAGCAGAGAGTCAGGTTTAGCTCTTTTGGGTTTCAGTCCAGCACTTTAATCCCAAGCTTCATTTTATATTCAGCCTTATAAATTACACCCCTTTGCAGCTGATCTGTCTTTGCATGCTTCCTTAGGACTGAACAGCAGGGAGGATTTCGGTGTCACTTCTTAAAAGAGGTAATCTAATCCTAACACTTTGGATCTTCCTTTGAAATCATTTACAACCCCCTTACTAGGATTTTAAAGTCATTCTTGGAGGGGAAATAGATACAGAAATAAATAAACAATCAAATTACCTCCCCTTTCTTACCCTCTGTGGTTAGCTGAGACTAGCTCACTCTTGTCAGAATGAGCAAGCACATCCACTGCCATGGACCAGAAAAGGCAGCAACACCTAACTATAATAGTGCAGTCTTGGTAACACAAGATCGGTCTTGTAAATGTTGCATTATCAATAAATAAAATTAACACATGCTTATGCTTGATTTCTGAAGTAATAGCCTTACTTGCTTTTGGAGGTCTTGTCTCTCGCTCTTCTACGTTGAAAGTTACCACAAACCTTGCATTGCTCACAGTGAATGTGTGAGAGGCAACTAGAAAATTATTCGGGGGGGGGGGAGATTGACACAGTATTACCTGCAGTAGAAGTAGGACAGTTGTTGTAAGTGAGAAAACCTGCAACACAGCATTTTCAGCCCATTTGCTCTATGTCCTGTTATATATCTCAGGGGAGGAAGGATTACGTTTTATTGCTGAGCTTTAAATATATCCCCATATTTGCCCTTACTCTTTTGGCCTTTCAATTACCCTAGCACATGGATTCCTTCCTTCTCCAGAGAGATAATTGTTTTTTTTACTGGTGTCATATTTCTAAAAGAGCAATGGTTTTCAGTGGAGTTACTGTAGTGAGGAACAAGAAGAGACAAAAGCAGAGATGGCTTATTCTGTCTTTGATTAAAACCAACAAATATCTGTATTTATCTGTGCAGAAGTTTCTTTCTTTTACGTCTTCACTGACACGAAATCCTAGCAAATGTTTATTTCCTTTTTATGGCTTTCCCTCCAGAAGAAAATGAGATCTATTCTTTATGCTAGAAGTATTTTGCTTCGTTATAAGTTATGAGTTTGAAAAGATAATGATGAGTCCTGGTTCTGAAGCCTTTTGTGAGTCTTGTGCAATAACTGTGCCTATTCTTTGTACACATCAGTAAGCAATTGTGCTTGGTCTCCCCATACTCCTGAAATGTTGGATGTGTTTCTGTAATTGTCTTGATTTGTAATGAACTTAATGTCTCATAATTGCACTGTAGGAGATTAATACCACTGTGCAGTCTAGGGACATCTTTTGATTATTAAATCTTCATGCAAGCCCAGATCTTGTAGCAAAGGGAAGACAAATGTAAGTCTCTTGCTTCTTGGATGACAGGTGAAACTGCTGAGGGGTGACACACAATGAGTGAGTGATAATCAGTGCCCTCTTTTGGTTAGAAACAATATGTAAGGGAGCCCTATGAGAGTGTTTATCAGTTCCCTCTGCTGGCTACAAAGCCCACAGCCAGATGAGCAGCTGTGTTTGCGGAGGCGAAGGTCTTAAGTTCTATTCCCAGAGCTGTGTGCATGTGGTAAACTGATGACTGTGGTGTCTATGCACGTATGTGGACATCATTCTTCTTAGGGTCTCATCAGAAACTACACTGAGTTCAACATGAGGGCACTCAAAAATAATATAGAGTTCCTGGGAGGTAAGAAACTTTCCTTAAGCATCCTAGCAGCTACACCATTCTTAATATTACACAGCAAGAGCAAGAACATCATTCTGTTACGAATCATATTCTACATTCAGATTGACTCCTTCCTTTTTCCACCTCTTCAGGACAAGCATGCCTATACTCATTACATTCAGTTTAGAGATGTCTGGTCAGTTATCACGAATATTCACAGCAAGAACACCATAATTGCCAAAAGTAAAATAAATAAATAAAAGAGAAGAGGAATTAAGAAGAACATGAGAAGAAAGGAAAACCCAACAACAACCACAGAAAACCACAAAAATAAGCTATATCGATCTTTTCTATTCTCTTGGGGAAAGGCCTACATATTCTGGTTATGCAACTGGAGAAACAGGTTGTGTAACTTATGCAGCTTCTCTGAAACAAAATTGAAATGGAAAAACTGTAATATTTTTTGCAAATTTAAGAGGGAGTTTTTATTTAAATAAACATCTATACCACTAAGAATGAAAAGTTCCTGAGTCAGGTATCCAGGTTTGCTTCAACTCCTGGAAATTCCTCATAGCAATGTATAGGATACACAAATCTATCCTATTAAAGGCAGAATGACTCAGAGCTAATAGCCTGACATACTAGGAAAACAAATGTATTTTAAAAGTCAGATTTTTGAAACATCTGCATTTCCCCTGCTAACTATAAAAGGAACCTTCTAGACCAAGATACTGCTCTATTCTTGTTTCAGAAGTGAAAGTAAGAAGTGGACGGATAATACACTGAGGAGTTGCACAGAGTCCTTCAAGCAAAACATTTGATCACTTCCAAAATTAAAGTTCCAGAGAGCAAATCAAGTTTCTAACACAACTCAGTGTTGAGAGATGAAGCAACAACATATATGCATATAATACAATTACAGTCACTAAAATGGCGATGCTTACATTGTCTTTTATTTACTTGATATAATTGTCAATGGGACAGAATGATGATGGCACAGCTCTGGGGACACTCAAACCAAATGCAATCAGCTTACCACTGAAGTAACTAGCAGTCAAGTCTGTTTATGCCAGCAAAGGGCTTACCTCTGTTCTGCTCTTCCATTCTTCCCACCACGTGCAGAGCTCCAGTGAATGTGGAATATCAGAACAAAGATGTTTTATGTAGCTCAGAGACCAGAATTTTTCATTCAGTTTGCCTTTAGAAAAAAAAGAAAAAGGAGAAGAAAGTGTTCATATATTTCCCAGCAAAAGAATAAGGTGAACTTAGTCCAACTCTTAGATGATGGACATTAATATAAAACACACAATTGGGACCTCTGTTGGCAAATCTGAGCAAAAAAAGTCAGAAAGTAGTTAATTTAGGTCAAAGTTGAGAAATAAAAGCAGGCTTGCAGGAAAAATTTATGTTGCCAACGTTGATATCTGTCACCTGTACAGTGGATAAAAAGCAAATAAGCTAAGAGTAGTTAAGCAAATACACCCCACAAGCGCTAGCATTCACACAAAACGTATTTTAGAAAATGAAGGAAAAAAGATAACACTCAGTACTTATTTGCTTTCAGTCAGTGGCTTGAATTGAATTTACCATAGTAGCACATCACATTGTTCGCTGCAGAAAAATGCAAAGCTTAGGCCTTTAGGAGTAAGTCTCTTGTGCTTTACTGGTTCCAAAAATGTCAGTGCTTGTCAAAGTGTTTTTGAAATAAAACCAAAAGCATGTTAATAAAGTGAACTTTCCAAGACAATGCTGGCCAAAGCCGATTCTTAGATTTCTTTTCAGTAACAAACTGCCTCTGCGGTTGCTGAACTGATAGGGAGGAGGATTTAAAGGGCCAAAGCCAAATTCTGGTCAACATAAAGAGGGTAAAAAATAAAATAAAAAATAGAGCTCTTAAACAGAGCACAAGCCTCCAATGAATCAAAAGATTTTTGCTGAGGGTGGGCAGAGCTTAGCAAAATCCAGCTGAGCTTTCAAAAACGCCTGTAATCACTATTAGGCTCCTCTTGGAGGTATTTTGAGACTGGAATACTTGTGGGTATGATTGGTGAGGTGCTGCTGTAGGTTACTGGACAAGACTCAGTACTTATGTAATTTAGAACTCACAAGCTGAGCATCAGTTCACAAGAGCTACCCTGCCTATTTATTAATTCCCTAAATGAACTGATGAGGCATCAAAGGGATTGTCCCATCCTACCATGACCCTCCTGAAAAATAGCTCCAGAAATAGGCTCCAGTGGAGAATGAAGGTATTCATGACAAACCGAGTTTACTCTGTGCACACAAGCTGCTTGCAAGTCTGGATGGTGAGATGTCTGAACTGTTTGGCTGTATGCACATCTGTAGCAGCAGTTTCTGTCTCCCACAGAAGAGTCCTACAGTAGCTGGATGCTCTATGCCAGTTACAGGAATCCCTGCGCTTTGCCAACCCCAACCAGTACAGCTGACATTAGGAGGCCTGTGCTGACATTAGGAGGCCTATGCAGTACAGCCCAAATTGTCACTGCAGGGGTGCTTTCTTAGTTCTTGCTCTCAGGAACTCCTCTGGGCTACTATTATCTTTGGGGATCTGAGCATAACGCATTACCTCAGGGAACAGAGAAAGCGTTTTAGGATTGCTCCCTGAGTTTGCATTACCAGCCATAGCTAAAACTCTTGTTCGTAGTATCCCGCTAATAAAAGTGTATGTTAACATCCAAGCCTGATTCTTGATTTAAGATTCATTCTCCAGCAGTAAAGTTTTCATTTTTGTACTGATAAAAAATTATCAGATGACTTTAAAGCTTTATTTTAAAAGAAATCCACTCTGTTCTGCTTTTGTAATGTCACAAACGCTGCCTTTTGGTTGCACAAGAGCAATCTAAAATTAGTTGCAAACAGCATCTAAAATGTAGCCTTCTTGGTTGGTTTTTTTTTTTTTTTGGCATGTGGCTCTGAGGGTACACCTCTGTCCCACAGAAAGAGCAAGATGGCTCTTAGGTTTGAATTTTGAACACAAACACTGCCTTTCATTGAGTTCGGAATTAACTTGCAATGAATATTTTTATTCTTCTTTTGAAATCCCCTATTTTCAACATCACATTTGTCACTCATATGTCGAATGCTCTCAAGAACGCAATACAAAAGGTCTGTGAGACACAAGTTAAACAAATTTAATTTGCAACTGCTCGGAGACATTTTCTCTGCTACTCTTGCTCTTAACTTTCTATTAACTGTTCATGTCAGGAAAACAAGAGTCTGAAAAATAAACAAGTGGAAGTCTATTATATTTTCAATGTTCCATTCATCACGCATACTGAGAGTTGGAATTTTAGCGTGACGGATGCTTGCGACTTCCAGCCTTAACCCTCAGTAATAATGACGGTGCTGCAACCACGTGCACGAGACCAGAAGCTGCTCCTTTAGCTACCACTAAGACTTACTCACCTGTTGCTCCACAGGGCTCAGAGGGGTGCAGCCCTCCCTCCCTTTCGTGCATTCCCCTCCCTGCTGCCCAGCACCATGGGGACAGGTATTTCAGCCGCTCAAATATCAAACATCTTTGAGGCCTCCAAAAAGACACAAACTGTCATACCTGAAGCCCCGAATCTCTCAAGGTGGTGTTATGTGAAGCTGATTCAACCTGCTAGATTGCACTTCAAAAAAATGAACAAACAAAAAAAACCACACCAAGTAATGCAAAGCAACAACAAAAACCCTACTTTTGTCTAATACATCGTGAGCGGCTGTTAAGCACCTGCCCCCCCCCCCCCCCCCCCNNCCCCCCCCCATCCCCTCAGCAGCAGGGTGGGTGTTCCCACTACCATTAATTGCTATTAACAGGCAGCATATTCAATCAGGGCATCCCATCCTCAGTGGGCTGTGAGCAGGGCCAGGGCACTAGGCAACCCTACTTGGTGCCCCTGCCAGCCAGATCAGACCCTGCGTGTTATGTTCACGCCTTCTGTGTCCCGTTGTTGTTCTGTGGTGGGGTCAGCACCACGTCTGCCCACAGGCGGTCAGAAAAGTGATGTGGAGCCTGCCCTTCCCTTTCCCAAAAGGAGGGGCAAGGGTTGGGGAGCTCAGAAACTCCCTGCAGCCCAGTCAGCTGAGGAGCGTTTATGGAAACAATGCGTTTGAGGTTTTTTTGGGTTTGGGAGATACAGCCCAGGGGCTTCGCTTCTGCGTGCCAGCCCTCAGTGCCCCTCGGAGAAGGATCTGGGCAGCATTAGCACGCACAGATGCTGACAGTACTGGAAGGCCAAAATGGGGGAGGAGAAGGAGGTGAAGCTTCTCCGTCAGCTGGAAAGAAAATGTCGCATCCTGTGAGAGGGCCGCTCAGCACGCACAGCGGGAGGCGTGGGGCCTTTCAGATTTCCCCCATCTGGAGGCAAAATCGAGGCCACTGTGAATTTAAAAGTAAACTAAAATTAAATTTCAAAGACAAGTTTCTTTGGTGAAAAAAAAAACCAGAAAAACCCCAGAACAACACTGTATGTGGGTATCCAGTCTAATAAGGAGAGCAGCCGATCTTTTAAAGTTGAAATCCGAAAATCCCAAAACTCCCACATGAACCACCAGACACTTCTTGTCTGGTTTGAGGAAAGAAAACGATAAAACTGCTGTATTCAGAGGCAGGGAGGAGGCAAACAGCTGCATAGAACAGCTTTATCATTTCTTTCCAAAGACAATTGCCCACCCTGCGTTGTTTGACGCAAAGATTTTTCAAGGTGCGTCATTTTGAACTCCTTGTTACATCCCCTAGCATGGCAGAGCTCTGACTCAGTCTTGGGAGTTTAAGGCAAATAAAGAGCAACAGCTCCTGAACTTGACGGCCTGTAAATCTTGCATACAGTAAAGCTGATTCCTGGATCCTGCTCTATTCCCTTTAACAGACTCCTTCTTACATAGATGATTGGTATGTCTGGGAAGATACGACGCTACAAATGCTTCACCTCCCTCTCCTGACTGCAGAAGCATCCAAGAACATCACCTACAGTAGATTAATGAATTTATCCTTACAAGCACCCTGGCAACGTCACTCTCATTTTAGAAGGAATTGAGGCACTGAGAAATTTGCTAGTGTAGCATTCCAAGGGACAAGCCAGATTCTCAAGTGTCTTCCCATCACGATGGAGACTGGTGGGAGAGCTCAGTTCCTACAAGGGCACCTCAACGAGAACCAGATTTTCAGGAGTGCTCAGCACCCAGTAGCTCTCACAATGGCACTCGCAGCCAAATTTTCTGAAAAGTTCCTTTGATCATCTGGCCACTGCCTCAGTGGAAGCAGAAAGCTTTTGAAAAACCTGATCCTGTTTGTGGGTGCTGAGCACTTTTCAAAATTCTTGCTTAAGTGACCCAGCCAAGGATGCAGACTAAAATTTGAACAGACCTCACTTTGCTTAATCCCTGGGCCAGTGAATTAACCACAGGCGTATCCTTCTATCCTCAGCAAAGAAAGAATAGGCACTAGTTGGGGCAGGAATCAAAATGCCGAATAACTGCCAGTACCCACGCCTGCCAAGAAAAATGCCCAGATACCTGTGGGCAAACCAGACAGCCACATTTTGGTACCTTCCTGAGAAGGGATTATTCCTAATAGCACTGCCAGAGTCTGGCAACCTGGATTATGCTCTTTCCAGATGTACCTATTTCTTTCTGGGATAAAACTCTTGTGAACATGCCCTCGCTCAGGCACACCCTCCCTGCTCTTCAGTAAAAACAGCAGCTATTCAAACACTCAGCTGTCTCCATTATCCTTAGAGAGCCAGGCACACTTGGGCAAGACAACAGTATTTTGTATAATTATTAAGAAGCAGTGGTCGCGTCAGTGAAGATTCTTGTTTTCATTGAATATTTCATTCATTTCTGAACATAAGCAACCACTTAGCTGCAGTTGTGCTAGATGCAGAGGAGGAAACACATGCTATTCTTGGCTGGACTGCACCTCTGTGGGAAGCAGCAGCAGCCTCCTTACTTGAGCCTCTGTCGGCTGCATGATTTAGCTACGCTTGCGACTGTCCTAAACTTCAAGCAAGGACGTGCCTCCAGGTTCTGACAACCATCAAATGTGAAGGCATGCATAACGCCCAAAGGTAGTCTGGATCCTTCATCTTATACTCTGTTCACCTGAGGCCCATTTGCAGACAACACTCTCCAAAGCCATGAGTTCAAGGCTACTTCAGAAATTCCTCTCCAGGCTCACCACTTGAGATGCTG